TCCTCACGCTCACGCCGACGGGCCGCCTGGAGACGCGTGTCGTGGCGGTGGGGAGGTGGAGTGGACTCCGCAGAACCAGTGTCACCAGCTCCAGGCTCCTCCGAACCAGCACCTCCAGTGCCAGCGCCTCCAGCACCAGCACCCCCAGCTCCAGCACCTCCAGAGCCAGCGCCTCCAGCACTGGCACTCCCAGAACCAGCACCTCCAGTGCCAGGACCTCCAACTCCAGCACCCCCAGAACTAGCACCTCCAGTGCCAGCACCTCCAACTCCAGCACCCCCAGAACTAGCGCCACCTGCGCCAGCACCTCCAGCTCCAGCACCCCTCGAACGAGCACCCCCAGACCGAGCACCGCCAGCGGCTGCACCTCCAACTCCAACACCAACCGAGTCCACAGGAACCTGTCGCGGAAGTGCCGAAGGCTGCCGAGGGAACTGTGAGGAGGACTGCGGCGATGGAGACGCTACCTGACGCGCGACCGAGGGTAGAGGGGTAGCGTGGGACACACCAGACGGGGCAGGACCAGGGGGGGGCGGGGGTACCGGAGGAGCGGGAGCAGGAGGAGGAGAGGGTGCGAGGAAGAGGGGGGGAGGGGGTACCCAGAGACCTCGACAGGGGTACCGGGTATAGTAGGACACGGACTCGTCAAACCGGACGTCACGGGAGTCTAGGAACTGGTGGAGGGGAGGGTGGTAAAAGGACCAGTCGGCAGAGTCCACCGGGAAACCAAGGAAGACACAGGGGACGGCGCGTGCCGAGAGCTTGTCCGCGGAGGTGTCGCGAACAAGCGCAAGGCAGCCCCAGACACGAAAGACCGACCCAACACCAGGGGACCTGGTCCAAAGACTGGTCGGTGAAGCCTTGGGCCGTGAGACGAGCGGCTGGAGGTTAAGCTGATGTGCGGCGTAGTGAACCGCGTAGGGCCACAGAAAATGGGGCGCACGGGCATGGATCATGGACGTGCGAGCAACGTCCATGACCAAGCCAATGCGGCGCTCAGCAACCCCATTCTGCTGTGGGGACTCCGGAAGCGTCCAGGACTGTACGATGCCCTGTTCGCCGCAGAATCCGGCAAGAACGCCGGAGCGAAACTCGCCCCCACGGTCAGAGTGTAGACAACTGACACGACGACCACGAGTGCCCTCAGTGGCCAGAAGCCACCGAATCAGCGTAGCAGTCACCTCGGACTTCTTCGCGAGAGGGAACACTGTGGTGTACCTGGAGAAGTCGTCGACGACCACCAGAAAGTAACGCTCCCTCCCAGAACCCTGCGTCGGGGCAGGGCCCCAGACGTCCAAGTGGAGGGTCTCGAAGGGAGCAGTGGCCGGACGAAGGGAGGAGGAGTGGGGAGTGGCGCGTAAGCGACCGGCGACGCAAGGAGTGCAAGGGGGAGCAGGGGAGGTGGGGAGCGACGGATAGGTGCGTGGGAGACCGGTGACAAGCCCGTGAGTGGTCATCCCGCGGAGGCGGGGGAGCAACGGGTGGCCAAGGCGGTGGTGCCACAAGACGGTCCGGTGGGTGAGGGACCGACAGGAGCAGGACGCAGCGACTGGGCTAGACAACGCGACCTGACTAGACACTGCAACTGGACAAGACACGACCACCTGGCTAGACACAGCAACCGGACTGGACACCGAGACTGGAGGGGACGCAATGACCTGAGCGGAGGACGCAACCGAGGAGCGCTCGGTGTGGAGAACGTAGAGACCGGAGCGGGGCTCCCTGGTGAACGTGGCCAGAACAGCACCTGTGGCAGCGTCTGTACAGACCGCAGTCCTCCCACCCCCCACAAAGGTAACCGTGATCCCCTTGTCCTGGAGGTAACCAACACCCACCAAGTCCCGAGTGAACGAGGGGATGTGGAGGCCGCGCAGGACACCAGAGGGGACCACAGGACACGGGAGGGTAGTGGAGCTACGCGCAACGGCTGGTCCTGAGGTAGGATCAGCCAGAGCCACCGAAACAGGAGTGAGGAGAGGCGTGAGGGTCGTGTGGTCGCGGAAGAAGCACTGAGACGCACCAGAGTCCAGCGTGAAGGACAGGGACGCCTCAGCCGGAGGGTCACCTGTCCTAGTGGCTACACAAGCACCTAGAGCAGCAACACAAGCACCTAGACTAGAAAGGCACAAGTCTACACTAGCATGAGGCAAGCAAGCTAATCTACGAACACGCGAGCACACAGATCCATCAGCACTATAGTCAACATCAGCATACAAAGCATGCTGACGAGCATCATCCATGGACAGATCAAACACATCAATCTTACGGGCTAACAGGCGAGCCCAGCGAGGCGTGGTCGCCGTAGGGCCCCAACGAGCACGGTAGAGGTCGTCGAGGCGGCGCAAGCACCGCGCGGCAGAGTGGTCGTTACGACCGCAGAGATAGGGGCTGCTAGGTCCGGTGAGGCACCAGTGGGTGCAGGGGCCAGTGTCACGGCGAGGGGGGCGAGGGGCCCAGCTGGAAGTGCTGCCGCTGCGGCCGGTGCTCCCTGGTCCTCCCGGACCCCACTGCGGCGGGGGACCCCAGTGCTGCTGCGGACCCCACTGCAGTGGGGGCCCCCACTGCTGGAACTGCTGCGGTGCCTACTGCTGCTGCGGTCCCTGCTGCTGCTGCTGTCCCTGCTGTGGCTGGTGCTGCTGGGACTGCTGCTGCTGGGGTTCAACACCCCCACCGGTCGGGCCACCGCCAGTGGGCGGGCCTGTCTGTCCTGCACCTCCTCCAAGGCCCCCTCCGCCTGGTGCACCTCCGCCGCCGCCGCCGCCACCGCCTCCACCACCGCCGCTCCCACCTCCACCGCCACCTCCACCGCCGCCTCCACCGCCTCCACCTCCCCCCTTCCCGCCCTTCTTGCCACTCTTGCCCCGTTTCCGCCAGTCTGCAGCAAAAACGGCAGCAGTGTCCCCAGAAACCGACACAGCAGCAGAAGCGCGGGTAGCAGTGAAAGTGGGAAGCTGAGGGGCGGCACACCCCGCAAAGAGACGGGGGGCCACCGTGCCAGTGGCGGAGGCAACGGTGAGGAGGCTACTCTCGATCGTCCCGAGAGCGGTCCCAAGGAGATCGATAGTGAGCTCAGTGGGGTGCTTCTGGAGAAGCGCGTCGCGAGTAGTGGCAAGGCGGTCAGGGAGGCGGGTGACTAACCAGTGCACAGTGAGCCACATGGGGGGGGGGAGCAGCAAGAAGCTGGGCGCCTGTACAGGCCGCTCGGAAACCGGCGTCAAGTGAGCGGAGGTGAGTCACTAGGTCGGACACAGTCGCAAACGAGCCGAGGTCGGGAAACACGAACGGCATGAGGAGGCGACTGAGAGAGGCAGAGGAAGGGGTGGAATAGCGTGCAACAACAGCAGCCCAAACCCCCTGAGCTGTCTCCACCTGGTCAAAGTGGGCGGCCTCAGTCGGGGGGAGGAGCTCCGTCAGCGCAAGAGCGGTGGCAGCGTCGCGAGAGTCCCACACGTCCCTCGCCAAGACACGACGGTCGTAGTCCGCCTGCGCCGCAGGAGTCGGCTCTGGGTCGGTCGGGAGGGGGTCGGGAGACAGGGGCGCCTTGAGGGCACCAGACGCGTGGGCCCACAGGGTGGCGCCGTCCTGACGCTGACTAGTGAGGTAGCGCGTGGCCTGGCGCTGCCAGGTACTGAACTCGATCGGTCGCCCCTCAGCATCGAAACGAAGGCGGCGGGAGGAGTCCATGTTGGACGCTAGGCTAGGAACGGCGGAGGTGAACCTAGGAGTCGTAGGAGCGCCAGTGGAGGAGGAAACCGGGCTAGGGGCTAGAGGCTAGGAGCTAAGTGCGACCCGGGTCGAAATCTAGTGACCGGAGCGAGAAGCGGCTGCCAGCCGCGGAGTGAGAAGCCAGTAGCAGTACGAACGGTTTTAGCCCGGGAGACAGGGCGGTGGCTAGGTGAGAAGGGGCGGTTGGGACGTTAGGAGGAGGTGGCGCGTGGGTTAGGGCGCGGCCGTTGGCGAGGGCGTTGGTAGGGCGCTGGCTAAGGTGGGGGCGAGGGCTAAGGCGAGGGCGCGGGCCTAGGCGAGGGCGCGAGCTGGGGCGACGGGCTAGGGCGCGGGCCTGAGCGACGGGCTGGGCGCGGGCCTGGGCGACGGGCTAGGGCGCGGGCAGGGGCGACGGGCTAGGGCGCGGGCCTGGGCGACGGGCTAGGGCGCGGGCCTGGGCGACGGGCTAGGGTGCGGGCCTGGGCGACGGGCTAGGGCGCGGGCCTGGGCGACGGGCTAGGGCGCGGGCCTGGGCGACGGGCTAGGGCGCGGGCCTGGGCGACGGGCTAGGGCGTGGGCCTGGGCGACGGGCTAGGGCGCGGAGGGCGCGGAACGGTGAGGAGGGCGCGCACGACAGTGGGGAGGGGCGGTCGACCGTGGGGAGGGGCGCTAGGAGGGCGCGAAGGCGCGGAGGGCGCGGCCGGGCTAGGAGGGCGCTAAGGCGCGGAGGCGCGGAGGGCGCGGAGGGTGCTAAGGCGCAAAGGGCGCGGAGGGCGCGGAGGGCGCGGAGGGCGCTAAGGCGCGAAGGCGCTAGGCTAGGCTAGGGTAGGGCGGGGAGCTAGGAACGGAACCTACTCGGATACCATCTCAGAATCTAAACACAACGGAATGAATGAACTAGCAAAGTGTTGGATACAAATAGGAAACACTAGCATCTGTACCCTCTAGAATGCAACTCACTACAGCCTATAACTATTATATTTGACGATCCTTTCCCACACACGCTCACACCCCCCCTGCCCACCCTGTGAAAGCGGCGTTGCTAGCGGAGCCGGGATCTTTCGTTTCTCATAATAACCATTAGGTTCGTCGCATTGTCATATGCTGTCGAACACGCCAGCCCCTGCAGGCCCACCTCCGCTCCTTCTCCACCTCCCTCTGAATCTCTCCTCCTCTTCTCTCTTCCTCCTCCCCTCCTTCACCTCTTATTGCATCCATTTTAAGCTTGTGTCCCCCCTGCCACCTCCCCCCCTTTCTTACTCCTCACACCCTCGGCTCGGCACTACCCTCTCCTCTCAACCAATCGCAGCTCCTCGACTCCGTGTCTCTGCACTCCCACTCTAACAGTTAGAACAGGACATATGCTGAATGGTATTGAAAAGAAAAGGGAGTGGGGGAGAGGCGAAGGAGAACGAGCACTCCTGCCATCCTGCCTTCCAAGATTGAGAGGCTGCTTTTCACCCCTGATTTGAGAGGCTGCTTCTCACCCATGCGTTCACCCATCCTTGTTGGCCCCCTCTTGTGCTGCAATTCTCCCAGTTCCTCATGTTGTTCGCCCTTCTCTTTCCCTGTACATACCCTCCTGGCCCGCCCCTTCTGCATCGCATCCTCCCTCTCTGCACCCCAATCCCACATGCATTGTCGCGTTTGGAGGCCAGCAGACCATCGCCTGGCGCACACGAGACAGCGAAGCAGGGAGAGCAAACAATATACCCCCATGAACAAGTCCTCCACAATGCTGCCTGGCTCGCCTCCAGCAGCAGCCTTGTGGAGGACGGGTCACCCTGCAGCGGCAACGGCTCGCCTCCAGCACGGTGAGGGAGGTGAGTCCACTCGTGCGCCTGTCATGCCCTGCACGGTCCCTGGGGGGCATAGAAAGGGGCAAGGCATGGGATGGGCAAGGCACGGGAGGGGGCAAGGCATGGGAGGGGTCAAGGCACGGGAGGGGGCAAGGCGTAGGAAGGGTAAGGCATGGGAGGGGGCAAGGCATTGGAAGGTTAAGGCATGGGAAGGGGCAAGGCACAGGAAGGGTAAGGCATAGGAGGGGGTAGGGCATGGGAGGGGGCAAGGCATAAGAGAGTCAATGCATGGGAAGCGGAAGGCAGGGGAGGGGCAAGGCATGACGGCAGGGTGTGGGAGGGGCGATGCATGACAGGGGACAAGGTATGGGAGGGGCAAGGAATGGAACTTAGTTGGGCACGTACGTTTATACGTAAACCTAAAATTGCGCGTTAACGTACCTGTGGAGATGTTTACATGTTGGCTGTGAAAGTGAGTTAACTTTTACTCGTAAGAAAAGAAACTGACATAGTCATGAGAAGGGCAACAAGGGGTGAGATTCCCCCTAGGAATCCAAACGCTGGAGGAGACTATGCGTGGAGAAGAATTTACGTCATCTGTTGAATATACCAGACCAGTGTTGCAACACCCACTTACTATCTGGGGTGGAAGTATAGAGGTGAGATGCAGTACCGATGTGATAACAAATCTTGCAGTCCAGGGCAGCGAAAAAAACAAAGCTCACCAGAAATGTATACTCACTCTAGAACAGCGTAAACACAAACGTAAGACTCAACTCAGAAACGGGAGGGGCAAGGGATGGTAGCAGCATGGCATGGGAGGGATTGAGAGGGTGTTGACAGGTAGCACTTTTGAGGGCGCGTCAGAAGGGAAGCCTGCATGGCCTCATTGATGCAGACGCAGTCTTTGGGAAGATGCATATGGCAGGGCGGAGAGGGCGGTAGGGAGCGAAGCAGGAGCAGGGCAGAAGAAGGAACGAGTCGACTCCCGATTTCTCCAGCGTTGCTGACAGTTTCCGCTTGATTGCTACTGGAAGGAGGAGCCACGGCAGTAAGCAACGGAGACAAGAGCGACAACGAGGGGCTGGGATTGCTGGACTGGAGTGGAGTGTGACTGGCATTGGAGTGTAAAGGACTGACCGGATGTAAGCAGCGAGGGTGAGCGGCATCTCCTCTGTGACCACCTTGTAGTGCACAGTTGCTGCCATGCACGACCCATGCTGCCGCCCTCCTATCATCGCTTTCACTCTGTGCTGCTGCGGCACGCATGCAGGCACAGCTGCCCCTCACACCTGACACACCAACGTGCTCCCCCCTTGGCGCCAAACCGCCATATGCATTCTGCAATTTATCCTATTTCTGCTGCTGCTGCTACAGCTGCTGCTGGCCGGTCTATCCCATCCTCTCCTCACCTGCTCCAGTGGCGGCCTGCCACGTGGCAGGCCAGCTCAGCCTGCCAGCTGTGAAGTCCTTCCACTCCTAGCATGTGTGGCCCACGCAGGCATGTGGAGTGATCTGAGGAGGGGAGGGGGGAGGAGGGGGAAGGGGGGGAAGGGGGAGGAAGGGGGAATACGCGGGGAGGGGGGGAGGGGGGGTGAGGGGGGGTTGAAAAGAGACACAGGGGTGATCGACACCAAGTCCCCACGGTGATCTAAGGAGCCGTGCGAGGCCCGGGGTCATGGACCGGGGTGCAAGGGAGCAAGGTGTTAGGAGGAGCAGGCGGAGGAGGGGTGAGGAGGGAGAAACGGATACGAAACGAAAACCTCTAGGCTGATCTGAGGTACGGTGCGGACAAGGGGCACAGCAGCACTCGACAAGATGTCCCCTGAGATGGCCTGTAGAGCTGTGCGAGGCATGGAGCATGGGGCATGCGGCATGGGGCATGGGTGCAGGAGAGGAGACAACAGGGGGGTAGGACACGGCGCCCTCTGCGATGATCTGTGAAGTCTGGGCCCAGCAGATTGGAAAGAGGTACAGTGGGGTAAGGGGAAGCGGGAGGGGTCAACGGAGTAGAAAACAGTGCGAGGGGGAAGGGGAGGGGAGAGGGGAGAGGGGAGAGGGGAGAGGGAGGTAGGGTGCTGGAGGGTACTCTAGATGCAATCCACCTCAGGTCTAAGGTTTAGGGTGGAGGAACGGGATGGGTATCAGATGGGGAATAGAAAAGGCCGCGTGCGAGCGGCATCCATGGGAGGGGTGATGGGCGGAGGGGAGAGAAGGGCGAGTGGGAAGGGCAGTGGGGATAGAGGCCAGGAGCAAACATGGAAAGGACAATTAAGGTTCCTTAAAAAAAAAAAAAAAAAAAAAAAGAGGCCTGGTTCTGCATAGGCTCACAAGAAGAGACTCCTCAGCAAAAATGATGCACAAGCCGGGGTTGGAGGGGGGGAATGGGGGAGAGGGAGCGAGGATTTGGGAAACCAGAATGCGGGGGGAACAGAGAGCCAAGTGGGGAGAGGAGCAGATCGAGGAGAGGGGAGGGGGGGGGGGGAGAGGGGAGGAGTGTGGGGAGGGGGGAAGGGGGGGGGGGGGGGAGGGGGGCGGGAGGGGGGGGGAGGGGATTCAGTGGACTAGAAAAACGCCAACGGGCGAGGGTGGGAGGAGGGGGGAGGTGGATCGGGGAATCTCAACGCTTCTCAGGGTCCGCGCTCACCCTTCCAGAGTGCGGGAGGGGTCTGGGGCACCGCGCTCGCTACGTGCCCCTCACCGCAGCCCAGAGCGCAGCGTCGGGCGGATGTGCGCATTGCGCGCGGATTGCGCTCGTATTGCCGCGCGCGGAGCGCGCGTATTGCGCGCGTAGCTCGCGGATGTGAAAAACCATGACATCTCCGTGTGCTGCTCGCCAATAAGCATCAGGGATGACGGCCAGCAGTAGCGCTAGTACTGACTCAGCTGATACAGAATCCAGACGACTGGACAAAAGCGACGTTCCTTTTTAGACTATCCGTCGAGAGTTACGGAAGAAGGGCTGAGAAAGGGCCATCAGAGGCCATTTCATTGGGGAGAGCAAGAACGTTGGCAGGAGGTTGCGGGAGGAGAAGGGGAAAAACGCGTCTGCCGTTTCTGATGCATCCTGATGTCAATAGCGCATTCGTTCTTCTTGCGACGGCGGCGGGGGATTGTGCAAGAGTGGATCGTTCTTAATCTGGATATGAAACCACATTCTGACATCCCATAACGAGTAGGAACTGATGAGCCTCACACGTTACTGCCATCTTCCCGTATTTTCTGGTCAACTTAAAACTCGCACGGTGGAACTCTGAACTATCAACTCTACATATCGGTAGACCACATGACGATTCTAGGTCGCGATAAGGCAGGTCGTGGGCTGAGCAGCTAGTTCGCTCTGTCGCGAGGTCCCCGTTGGTCGCTTGTGCCATTCTAAGCCTTTTCAAATATGTTACTAGCTCTCTTAGGGTTTCGCTGCGTTCCGTTATTGCGAGAGCGAATGAAGAGGTCGGAATTCGTCAAACAGGGTCAGCCGCTGTCCTGATTCGTCTGGCTCGCAGACCTGGCGAGATTCTTGGCAGCTCGACATGCCCCGCTGGAATGCCACGCACCCATCGAAACTCTTGTCAACTTGGAAATCGCGAGAGCAGGGTAACTTGACAATACGTTCGCATCTGTCGAAATCCACAATACACGGCTGAATGGGGGGGTCGCAACTCGCGAATTCCAAGTCGTCAGCGATCTTCGCCTGTCGCAGCCACCAATAAAATTGCGAAGCCATCCAGGCAAGAAACTGGGACTTCATCTCCCACCTTCACCTCTTGCCACTCTCTTTTCCTCTGCTACATTTCCTAGCTTTCCTCCTTGGATTCCTCATAACTTGCCGTCGTCCGCACTCTTGGTAACAGTAGTTTATTAGTTTCACAGTCTACAAATATTCACGAGTTTCTATTGACGCGTAGATTCACTGCTACTAGTTGCACAAGTTCGAAGTTACTCGTTTAGTGGAAGCTCGCTGCACAACGATGGCAACGGACGGCAAGGGACGCATCATTCGGCTTTTCTCACTCATATTTATGGCGTGTCTCGCCGTGGTCTCTCCTGTACGATGTGTCCCGTTTGCCGCCTCCCAAGGTTCGACCTTGTGAACCGAACTTCAAGTTAGCGCTCAGATAAATTTCATCTCTTATGGAGTGTTGGTGACGGTTATTATGCACTCCATGGCACCACGATGATGTGGGACGCATTCTGCTTAGAGATCGTGTCGTGTCTCGTCACAGTCTCCCGAGTCTGCTGTGACTTCCGCTACCAAAGTTTGTATCCTTTCAAGCTCATGCCGCTCCAGTAACCAAAACGTCATGCAAAATGTTGGGTTCAGCAGTTGCACCAATCCTGCCACGGTGATGGATCATCAAAGCCAAGTGGCGCTATCACACGTGATCCACCATTCTCATCCAACGCATGCTTAGAAGCTTGACCAGCCAAATTTAAGCTCGATATTGCATCAGTATGCAAATTGCTTCGCAGCAGCATCACAAAAACCCCTCATTTTCCAATCGCGGGAAAAGGGGTCGAATTGGTTTCGGAAGTTGGGTTGCGTGGGTTGTGCACAATTTTTCGCCCAACCACCAGCGAAAATGTGTCACTTTTCAATGTTCGCGTTGGTTTCGTGATTCAGACCCGACTCGCGAAAGAGAATGCGCCTCGGCGAACCAAATTGTCTGATCCCGGCCAAAATTTGGTGTACAGTCCTCGCTTTGACTTCGTTGAAATTTTAGTTTCGTGGTTGAGATTTCATTTCCCGCTAAAATGTTTGGATCATCCCTTGTTTTCGCGCAGGACCAGACGTGGTGATCGAACGCGCTTCGGGCCTGCTACTTTGGTCTCGCATAGGAGTGATTTGAGACCAACTTTGGCCTACATTTGTTCTTGGGAAAAAACCAATTACAGTATGTCAGGTTTTGACAGTTAATATTACAGATTTATGGTACATGGGCAAAACAACTCTTTAACCAAAACAAATATAGTCACGTATAACAAATATAAGGCGTTCCTAATGGCAGCTCATTTTGATTGCATGCTTGAGATATGATGCATTTCTCAACAATCACAAGAAGCCATGCTAAATGAAAAATACGACATGGTGAAACGCCACCCGGTGTTGCATTGCTTATCCCTGCACAAATTTGCATTGTCGTTTGTTTGAAATAGCATACCTTCCTATCAAGTGCTGCGAATGGTACCTATTCTTGATGGCATGCTTCTAATGTAGAGCGTGTCTCAACAATCAAGAAAAACCATGCTTGAAAAAACATTAAGACATTCAAACAGCACCCAGTGTCACACATGCCTATCCTTGCTCCTGCTCGTTTGTTCGAACTAGCATATCTTCCTACCAAGTGCTGCGAATGGTACCAAAACTTGATTGCATGCTTGTAACATAGTGCATGTCTCAACAATCAAAAGAAACCATGCTAAAAACAACAATAAGACATTCAAACAGCACCCCGTGTCGCACAGGCCTATCCTTGCACAGATCCAGGCCAGCAAACGCACAAACATGCGCCACGTGCTGCGTAGTTGTGCTAACGACCTCAAGCCAGTTCCTATGGCTAGGGAGTAGGATGCACTAGGGAACTGTGTGAATAAATAGTCGTAAAAAAAGCATCCAGACGTTGGCGAGCTGACATGTTGCGCACAGGCCTATCCTTGCACAGATTCAGGCCAGCAAACGCACAAACATGCGCCACGTGCTGCGTAGTTGTGCTAACGACCTCAAACCAGTTCCTATGGCTAGGGAGTAGGATGCACTAGGGAACTTTGTGAAGAAATAGTGGTAAAAAAGGCATACAGACGTTGGCGAGCTGGCATGTTGCGCACAGGCCTATCCTTGCACAGATTCAGGCCAGCAAACGCACAAACATGCGCCACGTGCTGCGTAGTTGTGCTAACGACCTCAACCCAGTTCCTATGGCTAGGGAGTAGGATGCACTAGGGAACTGTGTGAAGAAATAGTGGTAAAAAAGGCATACAGACGTTGGCGAGCTGACATGTTGCGCACAGGCCTATCCTTGCACAGATCCAGGCCAGCAAACGCACAAACATGCGCCACGTGCTGCATAGTTGTGCTAACGACCTCAAGCCAGTTCCTATGGCTAGGGAGTAGGATGCACTAGGGATCTGTGTGAAGAAATAGTCGTAAAAAAAGCATCCAGACGTTGGCGAGCTGACATGTTGCGCACAGGCCTATCCTTGCACAGATTCAGGCCAGCAAACGAACAAACATGCGCCACGTGCTGCGTAGTTTTGCTAACGACCTCAAACCAGTTCCTATGGCTAGGGAGTAGGATGCACTAGGGAAATGTGTGAAGAAATAGTGGTAAAAAAGGCATACAGACGTTGGCGAGCTGGCATGTTGCGCACAGGCCTATCCTTGCACAGATTCAGGCCAGCAAACGCACAAACATGCGCCACGTGCTGCGTAGTTGTGCTAACGACCTCAACCCAGTTCCTATGGCTAGGGAGTAGGATGCACTAGGGAACTGTGTGAAGAAATAGTGGTAAAAAAGGCATACAGACGTTGGCGAGCTGACATGTTGCGCACAGGCCTATCCTGTCAGATTTATATGACATAGCTACTGTAGGCTATAGTGGGGTAGCACATATGGGGTACAGTTTTCTAGGGTTTGCTTTTGTACCCAACTTTCCCTTAGTCAATTCATTCCTCATTTCTTCAC